GTTTTCTTTCCTTTCTTACCAAGCTTTTCCATCCTCCTCCAGGCCCAGCTAAGCACAGTGGCCTTTCCTCTCCCCCCTTTTGTGACCTGCTTCCCTGGCAAACCCTCCCAACCCCTTGTACTCATTCCAGTCCCATTATGTAGGGCATGACATTCACCCTGAACTTGCACCAGCTCCAGGCAAAGCAGGAGCCTCAGCTCTGCCTGACACGACACCATTGCAGGTGGTTGTTTTTGCTGTTGGTTAAACACAGAGTCATTAAGGTTAGAAAAGAAGTCCAAGATCTTCAAGGATGGACTGAAGAAAGCCTCTTTTGGTGTCCTTTGCCTGACTCCCCTCCTGTTGTGCAGTGTACAGAGGGTTCTGGACGGCGTTCATCCTGCTGGCCGTGGCTGCTGCTCTGGTGGGGGGGCTCCTGCTGGTCTGTGGAATTCCCTTCGTCAGCCCCCACTCCTACAAAGTGGGAGGTGGATTCCTCCTGCTCTCAGGTAAGGGCATGGAATGCAGGGGAGGCAGAGGGGGATGAGGTGCTGCCGGGAGCTCTGGTGGGAGCTGCACTGCTTGGAGTAAATTATTTCCCTCTTCCCTTTCCCTGGAATTAAACCCCTGTGAGCTCTGAGCCATATGAGTTGAAGGTATCCCTGGAAAGAGATGGCCTTTAAGGTCCCTTTCAACCCAAACCATTCTGGAATTCCATTATTCTGTGCTCAGTCAGGCTTTAGCAAGATAGTCCTTCACAGAACCCCAGAATATGCCAAGCTGGAAGGGACCCACAAGGATCATCAAGTCCAACTCCTGGCCCTGCACAGGCCCATCCCCAAGTGTCACACCCTGTGCCTGAGGGATCATCCAAACCCTCCTGGAGCTCTGGCAACCTTGGTGCTGTGCCCACTGCCCTGGGGAGCCTGGTCAGTGCCCAACCATCCTCTGGGGGAAGAACCTTTTCCTGAGATCCAACCTGACCCTGCTCTGACACAACTCCAACCATTCCCTGGGGTCCTGTCCGTGGTCCCCCAGAGCAGAGCTCAGTCCTGCCCCTCCTCTGCCCCTCTCGAGGAAGTTGTAACTGCAGTGGGGTCTCCCCTCTGTCTTCTCTTCTCCAGGCTGAACTTAATCCTATCAAAGCTGAGATTTTTGAAAACTGCTTTTTTTTTTTTTTTCTACTCTTCTATGCAACCCAGACAGGCAGAGCCTTTTATTTGAGTAAAGCTGTGTTAAGCCTGTGCAGCATCAGCCCCACTCTGTTCCCTGAAGTCAGGCTTTGCATTTAGGCTGCTCCTGCCTCTGTTGTTAACATCTGGAAACCCACAGAGGGATGAAAGGCAAACCCTGCCATCCAAAATGGGAGGGCTGGCTTAAGGAGACCTGAAAAGATGAAGCGGTGGCACAGCAGGAAAATGAATTAAAAATAGGCATTTATTCATTACTCCCACTGCAGTTACAAATGATTCCATTGAATTATCACTTGGGCTTTTTCCTTTTCTGTATTTGAGAGGAATAACTGGCTTCACTACCGGGAACTCAAACTCAGAAAAAAGCTCTTTTGCCACTCAAGCAGCTCCAGGCTGGATCTCAGCTGAGCTGTGCCAAGTGAAGAACTTGGTAATGAAATCAGGCCTTTCTCTGAAAAACCACAGCTTAATTACAGATCCTCCACCCGGTCCTGCTTCCTCATATCTGGCATAAATCAACCATGAGGCAGTGTCTTTGTTCTCAGTTTGGGCTCTAAGTGTGCCCAAATTTGGGGAGAGCTGAAAGCATTAATGAAGATATTTAATAAGAAAGGTCCCAAAGCTGATCTGTGTCCCCAGATGCCACATCTACCTGTCTTCTAAAGCCCTCCAGGGATGGGGACTCCACCACTGCCCTGGGCAGCTGTGCTAGGGCTGGACAGCCCTTTCCAGGAAGAAATTCCTCCTGATGTCCAACCTGACCCTCCCCTGGCACAGCTTGAGGCTGTTTCCCCTTATCCTGTCCCTTGTTCCCTGGGAGCAGAGCCTGACTCCCCCTGGCTCCCCCCTCCTGTCAGGGAGTTGCAGAGCCAGAAGGTCCCCCCTGAGCCTCCTTTTCTCCAGGCTGAGCCCCCTCAGCTGCTCCTGGTGCTCCAGCCCCTTCCCCAGCTCCGTTCCCTTCCCTGGACACGCTCCAGACCCTCAATGTCTCTCTTGTCCTGAGGGGCCCAGAAGTGCCCCCAGCACTGGAGGTGCCCCAGCAGTGCCAGCACAGGGATGGGCACAGGGCCTGTGACACTATTCCTGATCCAAGCCAGGTGCCCTTGGCCTCTCACCCACCCGGGCTTGTGTTCAGCCACTGTCAAGCACCCCCAGGTGCTTTTCCCCCAAGCAGATTTCCAGCCAGTCTGCCCCAAACCTGTAGCTTTCCATGGGGCTGTTGTGACCCCATAATGGATAAAAATCCAAGGGTTGTACCAAGGCAGGAAACTTTCTCTTCCCATCCGTAACCCAGGCCCCAGGGAGGGAGCAGGTGTCCCCAGGGAGTGTGTCCACTCTGCACGTTGGGCAGAGATATCACAGAAAAGGGTGTCGAGTGAGACTGAAAATCTCCTTTCTTTTTCTTTTTTTTTCATTGTTTTTGCACTTTATTTGACTACTTCTTGATTAAAGGGCTGGGGCGTAGAATGTGACACTTTTTAAGAGAGCTGATTATGCATCACATAAACCTCTTGGCATTAGACAAAGATGCTGCTGTTAAAACTGAAGTTTGTATTAATGCAGCTTCAATGTGAACAGCAATCATTGTTATTAACAGTCGTTAGGGGAACGAGTTCAGCTGGAAGACACTTCCTGCTGTATTTTCAATCCAAATGAGAGCAGGAGGATGCAAGATGTTTTTCAGCAAAGTTTCCTTAGTGTTCCAGCTGTTCCTTTTATTTTGGGGGGGGCTTATCCTGAACTCAGGTCTCTGGATCCTGCTTGGCCTTGGCTTCCTGATGGATTCAGCTTCCATCTCTCCGTGGCTATTTTCTCGTTATCCTTTCCAAAAATCTTTTGCATAATTGTGCTAAGCAGCAGGAACAACAGATTCACCACAGCTTCAGCTCCCCAGCCACCCCTTTCCCTGGGACAGCGGGATGTGGAGGGAGGGATGATGCAGGAGAAAGCACTTCTTGTCTTCTCATCATGGCCTGGGGGTCAGTGTTAATTAACCTCCCTTGCAGAAATGCTCTCTCCTCGAGGAAGTGTGAAAATGCTGGCAATCTGTAGAGTGGGAAGGTGGGCTGGCAGTCGGGTGGTGAGATGGGGCACCACGTTGACCTCTCAGGGAATCCTTCGTAGGCAACTCCATTCTGCCCACGAACCCCCTCCTTTTGGTGGAGGTTGTGACGGCACAGCCATGGTTAATCACTGCAAAATGATGTAACTTTTGCCACCAAAAGGCTCTAAAAGTGTTGAAAACTCACTCCCAAGCATTCATGGATAACCAGCCTCACATGGTCTTGAGGAGTCACACGTGTCCCTCTGTGCCAGGGGAATTCAGTGCTAAAGGGTGAAGGTTGTTATTGTTCAATAAACCCTTTGGGTTTCCTCTCTGAGAAGCCTTTTTTTTTGTCCTTTCAAGGGGACAAATGTGACTGTGTGCCAGCACTGTAACCAATGGACTGCTCCATGGGAGGTGTTTCTGGGAGCCCTTTCAAAGGGCCAGAGCCACATCCCTTGATTTCCTCTGCTGGGTGACTTGGGAAAGGCAGCCAGAGCCCATCTGGCATTTGCTGCTGCTGCTGCATTTGTGCATCCACTGCCCCAGCTGGGCAGCCCTCCCTGCCAGCCTGCTCCCAAAACCTGGAATACACAAGTAAATAACCAGTGTGCTGCTTCCCTTCCAGTATTTGCCATCCCGGCCTGAGCTTCGGCGCTTCCGAGGGGGTGGCAGATCCTGCCTGGTGACTAATTGTCCCCTTGTTTCAAAAGTCAGATGACAACATGATTAATTATCACTACAGTGTCAGTGAGAGAGATGGGTGAACTCTGTGCTGCAGCTTTTGGAAACTCTTTGAAATGCTGAGGCAACTTTGCTTGTACTTCTTCCTTTTCTCTACCTTGTGCTCCTCAGTTTTGATTCCTTTCAGACATTAGAAGTGAGGCCCTGGCACAGGGTGCTCAGAGAAGCTGTGACTGCCCCATCCCTGGAAGTGTTCAAGGCCAGGTTGGCCAGGTCTTGCAGCAACCTGGTCTAGTGGGTGGCATCCCTGCCCATGGTGGGACTAACCTGTTCTTCAATGTGACCCAACAGCATGAAAAAAAGAGGCAGATTTCCCAGTCCTGTGAGTTAAAGTGCTGAATTTTTTGCTCAGATTATCCCAAATCCAGCAGCACTTTGGCAGTCTGAGGCTCCCCACGTGCAGTAAAGGCTGACACTTCTGGAAGGGCAGCTGAAGGTCACCCCTCCATTTCCTCATTATTAACATCCTTAAGAGGCAACTGGTGAAAGAGGAGAAGGAGTCAAAGTTCATTATTGTCATAATTAGCAGATTGCACAAAAGTTCAGTAGCTTCCACAGAATAAGAGTTAAAGATTGAGTTCACTCACCTGTCCCTACAATTAGCAGCTATAAAGGTGTCACAAGGAAGTCAAGAGAGAGAAAGGAAAAGCTCGACTCCAATTTACCCACAGGGAAGATGCAGCTCTGGGAGGGGGGGATGGACCACTGGGGTCCCTCGTTCTGCAGCGTTCAAAGGAGACAGATTTAATACCCCACTTCAATTTGCTTGCAATTAGCCCCTCCCCAGAAGATGCCATTGACCTCATCAGCACTGAGATGGAGTTTCACAGTTAATTTTTTCCTGTACCATCCTGATGAACAGAGGCAGAGAAGGAGAGAGATCACCTGGGTAATTTTCCAGCGGCAGAAACCACAGGGATGCTGAGAGCATTGTAAGGATGGTTTGGTTTGATGAGGTCTTCACTTCCCCTTCCCCAAACCCAACATGCATCCTGTCTCACAGGTGTGGGTGCCGACGCCAGTCTCATTTTTAGGGCAGAAAAACTGCGTTTTCTTCAGTTTTTCATTTTGCTGCTCAAGGGAGGAGGGAATCTGTCTCTGCACACCAAAAGCTGGCAGGAAACGAGGATGACTTTCCAGAGCATCCAAGAAAGGAGGTGGTAAAGTGAGACCTGTTCAAAAGATGAAAAATCCAAAATAAAACCAGCATTTTGAAACAAAAATACCAAACACTTTGGTAACATGGAGGTGAAAGCTCCTGGTTTTGTTGCAATGAAGAGTCTGCTGATGGCTGTGAGGGTGACAAATTTTAGGCACTTTCATGAATACTTGTGAGTGCTCCAAACCGGCACTTTTAGCTGAGCAATTTTTGTTGAGCTGCCCTTTCTCTGCGCTCCCACCGTCCTTTGGCTGCACCTGCCCTTCTGATTTTCTCTTCTCGCTGAGGACATGGTGCAAATCCCAGGGACTCTTTGTCACTCAGCTGTAATTATTCCAGGGAAGAAGGCTGCTTACTTTACAGTTTCTTGTCATTTTCCCAGAGTGTGAAAACATTCTTAATTTAGATGCCATGGCCGTGCCATCACCTCCAGTACCTGTTTAATAATAAATGCTTCCCTACCAAGGCCTGGCGCTTCTCCTGGGGCAAGGGGAGGGATCAATCCCAATCCTTAGCTCCTGCCGAGGTTGGGGATGGGGCCACCACTTGTGGGACTTTTCACACCCTCCTCAGTAAGAACTGGAAGGTTTTGACCTGATTACTTCAAAAAAAAAGGAGACTTGCACCATCTAAATTGTCCTGGGTCAAGTCAGCACAGAATTCCTGGTTATTTAAAGAAAAACAGGAGAAATCCAAAGCACTTTACCAGGCCACGTTCTCTCTCCCACTGGGGCCACGGTTTCATTTGTGTCTCTTACCATAGGTATTATAAGTTAATGAAATAGAAATTGATCTTTAAAAGAGCACTTTTCAAGGTTCAGTTGCTATCTAATTAATTTAATTTTAAATTACATCGGTAATAAAGACTTAATTGCCTTCTTATCAATACATTGTATTTTGTAAAGGACATGCGACTATTTAAACACACGATGGTTTTCTTACAGTAGAATAATTGGTATTTTAAGCATACAACTATCATGGTAAGTGTAAAATATTTATTTGTGCACTTAATTTCAAGTGGTATCAAAACCTCAATGAACATGCAAATGTTCCAGCAGCTGCTGTTTAACTCCTCGCCTGCCTCTCCAGCGAACACAAGGGCTTCTCCACATCAGGGAAAACCACTTGAAATGACAGTGTAGGGTGAAGTAAAGGGTATTCATGTGGTTGCGCTGATTTTTTGTTGATAAGATTCCATTTTTTAGGGTGTGGGAGGCAGTGTGATGGATGTGACAGTTTAGGATGGGTAGCTTCAACTTCTGTATAACTCGTAATGAGCACTTTGAACCCTCTTACCTTCCTGTAAGTCTGATTTTTGGGTGTTTATATCCATCATAAACAGAATCACAGTAAAACACTGGCATGTTTTCTCTGACTGAGGATTCAGTAATCACTAAGCAGATAAATCAACATCAGGCTTTACCCCCTTCCTTTCCTTAGCAAAAGAGTTGGATTTTGGAGTGTATAAGCTGCCAGGGAGAATAATGAAATATGCTACAACTACCTTTGATTTAAAAATGGCAAGGGGAGAAATTAAATCCTGCAGAAGCCACAACACATCCACGGAGCTGTGTGGCAACTTGTCAACCGAATTAATTTTGAGCTGTTCACTTCTACCATAAAAATATTATAAGCTGTGATGTATTTCTTTCATATGTGTGTGTGTGTATTTGTATCTATATGTTATACAGCACCTTTTAAAAATAGTAGCTTCTGGCTGTGAAGTACCAAGATCAGATATTACTGAAGTGCTTTCAGACCTGTCATCACACCATCACTGCTGACTGCAGTTTAAATTCAACATATATTACGACTAATATATATTTTTAATTTTATGCTGTAAATAGTATTTGGGCCACTCTAGTTTTTGTCATCTGCTTCATACGGGGGAAACTAAACCTCCAGCACTTGGATTATGGGGAAAGGAGGTTCCTATTAAGGCACTGAAGGCCCCAGGTCCAGGAGGTGCCTGTTCACCACGTGCTTTTCAGATGTGACCAAGCTCTTCCCACTGACCTTCGACGGGAATGCAGCTGGAAATACGAGATGGGGAGGTCTCCTGGGAGACTTGTTTGGGTCATGGGCATCCTGCGAGGCCAGGGAGGCTCCAAGGAGAGCAGACCCCTCCAGGAGAGATGCTGACCTTGCACTCACTGCTCAGGCTTTGTGTGGCCTCAGCTCTCATCTGTCTGGCTCCAGGAGGGCCAGGAGGTCTCACTCGCCCATGTGAAGTCTTTGTAGCCTCCTGGTAAAAGCTGCTTATTGTTTTTTTTTTATTTCTCTGTTATTTTGTAGCCCATCTAAGATTGGTATCTCGGGGCTACATGCCTTTCCCACCCTATTATGTGTTATTTCCTTGCAAAATAGGATCATCTGTACCTGCTGGGGGTGGCAGGTTCAGTTGCCATCAGCAGGACTGATTCCCATATCCTTGCATTTCTAAATTGGAAGTTGGATCTAACAGTGCTTGGAAGGGTAGATATAAAAAAGGAAAAAGTGAGTCTTGGTGTCTCCTCATTCATCTCAGAGAAATTCAAAAGGCAAAAAGGCACCGTTGGGAGAGGAATTCAGGTCCCTGCTGAGAACATGAGTGGTGTTCACGATGGCTCCTCGTGCCCGTGTCCAGGTGTAGCAGAGCCTGACTGTTAAAGCACGAGGTGTCAGTGGGCAGGAACTTGTCACAGTGTGGTCTCCTCCAGGACAAGAGGGCTTGGCTTCCACAGGAACCTGCAGAGAAACATCATGGGTAACAATGCTGCGACAGTAAGCTTTGGCCGAAGGACCTGCGGGGATAACTGGAGATCTGTTGAGATCTCTTCTTACTTTTACTCCCGTATTCCATGTGCAGACAATAACTCATCTCCGTCTCCCTTTCCAGGAGGTTTATTTCTCCTGCTGGTGTTTCTCTTCGTGATGTGGAAGGAGTTTGCTGCTGACTTCCAGAAGTACATCCTGCTGGAGAGGAGCGAGAGGTGCCTGGACGACGTCCCCGTGCACGTCTACTACGGGTGGTCGTTCATGTTCGCTGCAGCCGGGGTACCCCTGGTCCTGCTGGCTGGACTCCTCTTCTTCCTGGTGGGCAGAGACATTATGGAGTCCCTGGAGTAAGACAAGTTTGGAGAAGGCTTTGGTGATGTAAAGAAACAGGCACAAGTTTTTGAGGACTAGATCGTTTTTGTAGCTATAATCGTCAGGGTAAATTACACTCGCTCTTACGTGGAGGCAGGGCTGGAGCACTGAGCATCCATAGAATAGTTTGGGTGGGGAGGGACCTTAAATCCATCTCATTCCACCACCTGCCATGGGCAGGGACACTTTCCACTATCCCAGGTTGCTCCAAGCCCTGTCCAACCTGGCCTGGGACACTTCCAGGGATCCAGGGGCAGCCACAGCTTCTCTGGGCAACCTGTGCCAGGGCCTCCCCACCCTCACAGCCAGGAATTCCTTCCCAATATCCCATCTAACCCCGCCCTCTGGCAGTGGGAAGCCAGTCCCCTTTGTCCTGTTCCTCCACACTCTTGTCCAAGGTCCCTCTTCAGCTCTCCTGGAGCCCCTTTAGGCCCTGGAAGGAGTTCTTGGGTCTCTGTGGATCCTTCTCTCCAGGTGAACACCCCCAGCTCTCCCAACCTCACTCCATTGCAGAGCTGTCCCAAAACCAGCCCCAGATGCAAACCCAGCTTCAGCATTTTTACATTTTGGAGAAGTTTAGGGGTGTCTGTGGGCTTTGCATGAGCTTTCTCTGCAGCCCAAGGAAAAGCAGCTCCATGGATTGTCAGCAGAGCCCCACATCCATATTCAGCAGAGCCGGAGTTTTATGGCATTCCCAGCATCCTTGTTTCTTGTAAAAGGTAATCGAATCTGGCTGCAAGGGGGACATTCTAATGTCTGTTTCTGAAAAGCAATTAAGGATGATTTTTTTTCCTTAGCTGGCTCTAATTGACGTCAAAGGACAACCTTTTTAATGGGATGTCGGGAAACACGAGAAACTTTTTTTTTTCCTTAAAAGCCCTGATTCTGAAGATACAAATTTACCTGGACCTAACCTAACTTTCAATAAGGGAATAAACCAATTTCTGTGGCATGAAACTTAACCTGAATTAATTAGTATTTCTTTACAGCAATGTGTTACTCCACATTTAATATTTTCCCTGGACACAGTGTTGTGGGGATCCACATCCCAAAAACTGAAAGATGGTCAGGGTCGAGGGAAAAGGAGGGGGACAATGAAACCATGGGTTATGCCTGTGCCCCATCAGTTCTTATAATTTCTCACTATAAAATCCCTTTGAATAATGTTTGTCGTTACTCTGAATTGAATATTTTCCCTGCAGACAGTTTTGTGAGGTTTCTCGACCCAAAACCAGACAGATGGCCAGAATTAAGGGAAAAGGAGGTGGAAACAATAGCATGATATCATGGTATCTCCTTGGATTATCTGTGCCCCATCACTTCTCCAAGTGATAATTTGTCACTATAAATTCCCTTGGAATAATTTTTGTCGTTACTCTGAATTTAATACTTTCCCTGGACACAGTTTTGTGAGGTTTCTCAACCCTAAGCCAGAAGGATGGTCAGAGTTGGGGGGAAAGGGGAAGGGGGCAATAGCCCTGGTATTTTTTCTTTGCTTGGTTGTGGTCGACCCTGTGAGCCAGCTCAGCGTGGGACCTCGTATTCTACGGACTCTGCACAGGAGTCAGCTCCACAAGGACAATTTCCATATCATTTAGATATATTTAAATTCTTCCAATCACTCAGGTGCCCCTTGTCTGACGTGGCAGTGTCAGAAGAACAAAGCATCCCTAATTCTACACCAAACCATCCAGGTGCTGGGGGGGGGGGGATATAATTTACACGGAATATGCTTTGGAAAGACACTTGAGAGATGACAAAGATTTGATCTTGTCATGTTTTTTGGGCTGGATGGTGATGCTTTGAAGTAGTTTGTGGGGTCTTTGCTTGCTGAGCTCGTTTGCATAAATTTTAAATCAAACTTCCTCCAAATGTGTGCAGTTCTCCTGAATGTCAGAGTTTGTGCTAAACATACATCTCCTGAGCTTTATGTCATGCTATTGACTCAGTACAGTTAATTAATAATGGAATGTAAATCTCTTCTAGAAGACTGTTGGCAGTATAAAACTGTTTGTTAATGCTCTTCCCAAAATATTATTCAAGTCTGGCATTTCTTTCCTTTTGGAGCAAGTTCTAATTATTCTTTTACAAGATTCATGGCATACATAGAGTGAGAAATTGTAATTCCCACATGGAAAGATTAGTTCTTTCATATGAATAACTGGCTTGGTCTCCAGTTCTTAAGCACTATTCACACTGTTTTCCCTTCATAGAAATTTTATTTGAACAGAATTGGGATATGCAGGTAAAGATCGTGTTTTTTCCCAGGAAATGGATGTTTTCATGACGTTTATAAATACACAGATATTTCAGTGTTTTATTTGGCCATTCTAAACTGGGTTTTTTCCTGGTATCTCCTTGGGTTATGCCTGTGCCCTATCAGTTCTTCAAGGGATAATTTCTCACTATAAATTCCCTTTGAATAATTTTTGCCATTTAATTATCTATTCAGTGTGGAGACGAACACTTATGGTCACAAAGAATAAAAGTATATAATCCAGGAGCAGAGGAGGTCAAGATTTACAGTCACTTGCCTTTCCTTGATCCCATAAAACAAACCAAGCATGCAGAAATGATGATCCCATAAGAGACACCAGGGCAGAAGAATGAGAATGCAGCAAGAAATCCATCAGACTTATTGGTATCTGTGAAGCTGAGCATCCCTGAAGTTGTGAATATAGAAGTGAGTTTTATATTATAGAATGAAATATTTATTAACTTTCTCCATCTGTTCTTTAAAAAATTTAGTTTAATGTCATCAAGGCATTTATGGAATACATTGAGCTGAATCATGCAGTCATGCCTTAGGGAGTAAACCATCCCTGGAGACCTGCTCTTTCTGGATCAGCTCTAGAACAAGCAGTAGTTTAAAACTCCATCATTCTTTGGAAACACAGGTGGCTTTCAATCAGTCTTGAATAGAGAGTGTTTTGTTTTAAATATCTTTGGTATTGAGCACAGTCTCTCTCCAATAGTCATCTGGTATTGAGCTTTTGGGTAACCCCATCAAATTCCCCTATTTCCCATAGGTTTGACAAATCTCCCAGTATTAGATATAGATATACATCTAATAGTCACAACAATAAGAGGGAATGATATTATAGAGCTGCATAACTGAAGAATTGACTCCTCTATTAAAACTCCACATTTACAGCCAGCACAAGGTTAACCAAACACCTTTTTGGTGGAATAAAGAGTTCCCTTTGCTCTCAAGTTTCCTGTGACGAGCAGAGCTCAGGCAGACAACGTTTTGTGCGAGAATCATCATTTCTGGAGGAGAAATTTCAAACCCCAACCTAACGAGCTCAGTGGTGAGGTCTGAAACTGCAGAAACCACGTTTTTGCTTTCATCTGTTGCATGTGAGGAAGTTTGATGAAAGGATATTATAGAGTAGTGACAAGGACCTAATTCTGATCCAAGTTTTGTCATTATAAATCACGAGTAATTCCGAAGATGCAGCAGACCCTTATCACTGTTAAACATCTGTAAGTCAGATCAGAACCGGGACTAATAAATACATTCAAAGATGCATAATTAAAACAGTGATTTCACATCACTCTGATGAATTTTAGTCAAGGATTTCTTCAAGGATGCTTTTCTCAGATTAGCATTTGATGTTAGTAAGCAATGAATAATTCCATTTTTTCTTTCCAACATCTGGGACACTTCCTGCTTTATTTGCTACTTACTGAACACTCTGCAGGAAATATTAATGAATCTTGGGTGTTGAAATGCAGGCCCTGTGATCGTGCTCAGGAGGCAGAGTTACGTAGGAGAGATGATGTGTCTTGAGATTAAGAGGCTGGATTTTGGTGAAGTTGGAAATTGGGAGATTTGCCAAACCTGAGGGAGAGATACAGGGATTTGAGGAGGTTACCCAAAAGTCAAGTCCCTGTAGCTCCTTCTTTCATAGCAGGGAGATTTTCCCTCATACCTGGTAGACAACAATCGATAATAAAAGTTTTTCCTGTTGGTCAGATCAGCTCTTTTACCAGAAAACTGACACCCAAGGACTCCCTGAGGCTGGGAAGGTGCTGATACCTGGGACCACCTGACTCAAGGAGACCCGGACCAGGAGACCAGCACTCCATGAGAGCATCACTGCCATGCCCAGTTGCTTTCTCACACTTCCAGAGGCCTGGAGGGTTTTCCCTTTCTTGGTAAATTATAAAATTCTGTGTTTGGAGAGCTCTGCTGGCTCTTCAGAGAACCCTGCACAGACCTGAGCTAAGAACCAGAGGCAGGAGAGCTTCCAGAGGAGGAAAGAAATGTCCTTCTGTATTAGTGTGGAGTGAATTTGGCAGTTCAGACCTGACCAGGAGGGTGAAAACCCCCTCTGCCATGGAAAACAGGTTGACAGGAATTTACCAACCTTCATTCCAGCCACGTGTATAATCCCCTCTGGGATTGCTTTGACCCAGCAGCACTTAAACCTTTCCACTTTTTCTTTTTGTCCAGAAAAATCCGTCTTCTCTGGACAGGAACAGTGTTTTCACCTTGGTCACACACACTCCTGCTGCCTTGGTGGGCTCATGGAACAAAAGGTGGGGCTGCAGAACAAGGATCTCCCCCCAGAAGGTCCCTCCATCCCCTGAGCTCGGGGTTGCAGCAACATGAGAGGTGCCGAGGCTTCGCATCCCTACGGAAGACAACCCAGGCAGATTCCCAGGAGCATTCCTGCCCCAGCCCTCATCCTGCTAAGTCAGCACCTTCTGCAGTGCCTCTTGTCCCTCAGGCACCGCCCAGGGAGAGGCACAGGTGGGGTGCAGCAAACCAAGACCCAAACCAAATTAAACTAAATGAGGAAATCCGGGCTGGCCCCACGCTCTGAGCACCGGGCTCTGCATTAGGGCAGGATTAAGCCCTATCAGCCCCAGCCCCTTTTACAAGAGTGCACAGCACCTCAATCCTACAATCAATAAGCTGTACATGCTGCAGCACAAAGAGCTCTTATCTGCAATACCACTTTGAATTTAGTGAATT